ATAAATACATACATACATACATACATACATACATACATACATACATACATAAATAAATAAATAGGGAAAGGATCTGAAAGAGGTGGTTGCTTTTATGTGAAATGAAAGAAGCAGTACATGAAAAACAAAAGAGGAACTCACAAAATAAGTTGGAACCAAAAGAAATATCAACATTTTCACTATGCATATCTCTAATCAGAAGGACTTTGTCACAATACAAAGAGAATGCATTCAATCCAGAGATTCTTGCTGGATTATTATGCATACAAGGATGTTTGTAGAGTTAGATTTTTTAAAAAATGTTCACTTACAAATAAAGATGAAGTTTAAGAGATTTTAAGGTACAACTACTCAAATGCTGGTCCCATACCTCTTCCTTGGGTTCTTCCTCTTCAGTTTCCGTAGATACAGAGGGTACCTTGGGTTTATGCCATGATATCTGAAGTCGCCGGTCTTTGAACTTTAATCCTTGGTTGGCAGCCTAAAGCAGGATATTCAAGAAGGCAAAAAAAGCAATTCATGAGATGATTTTTGGGTACATACGCTGTCTAGAGACATCTCCCTTGACTCAACAAGTGCTTGATGCAGCTTTTCAGTTGGGGCAGGGGGACTTCCAGAATTTATGGGATTCCAGTTATTATTAGCCATCCTGACCAATGGGAATGAATAGTGGCAACAGCAGCTCATCAGCAGGTGGTGGGCCATAGGTTCTCCACTATTTGTTTATATTGCCTACCCATAAGCCTTTTTCAAAAACTCACAATCTGTTTGAGAGTAGCAAAAGGATTTAAACATTCAGCACTTGGAACTCTGAATTGGAAACCCAAAGGGAGATGGCTTATCTCTGCAGCACCCACAGTCATATTAACTGCCTCAGAGGCTGACGTTTGCCTCTAAATACAATAGTAAAGAAGTAGCAAAACATTCTTCTGAAAGCATCAAGAACTTGTTCCATCTTACTTACATTTTCAGCTTCCGAACGCGACTTAAATGTCAAAACAATACTTAAAGGAGACTCCTCCTCTTGAAGGCCTTCAATATCTCCAAATTTCTGTAAGACACATAATATGAATAAAGATCCATGCCTGCTTTTCCAGCATGCTGTACGCCAATGTAGTGTACGGTTTCAAGACAATGTGTGGCATAGTTAGTAGTGTTCAGTCAGACCAGGAGGAGCCAAACTGAAATGGTCACTGAACCAGACAGTTCAATTAATAATTTTGAGCCTAGTACATTATCTCAGGCTAAGTCTACCATACATGGCTGTTGTCCACCAAGTGTATGGCAGGATTTTTTTTAATGGTGGTGGTGCATACATAATATACCTCAGCTTTTATACTAATCTTAGAGTACTAGCAGGTTTGGTGTTCTAGGATTTCTAAAAGAAATGCATCAATCTGTGTTCTGTTCCCTTAATGACATTTTGCTTTTGTCCATAATCTTGTCACCACAAAAAAGCAAGCTCAAGTCAAGTTATATCAGTCCAGGAGACAAACATTGCTGGATTGATAGGCAGAGACAAACTGCACAGTCTGGAAACACCTAGAAACAAAACTTGCCCTATCTGTGAAGAAAGAGCTGAAATGGCAGTAACTGCTTGGTGCTAAGCTCTAAGTCAATCATTGCAGAATGATTCAACTGACAAATGCGCAAGACCCTCCAGAACAGCTTTGATTCTATAACTCCCACTGAAAAGATAATAATTTCTTGAGATAAGCAGTTTCCCATAGAACAGCAAGTCTGGAAGAATGATAAAGTGGAAACTTCAGAAGGATATGGGCTGGGACATTTTATCTCTCCAGAATTAAATCAAATACATGAGGAACTGATGCGATTCTATTTCAGCTAGAAAGGACACTGGACTAACTGTAAAAAACAACTGATACTATACTTAAAATGAAGGAAATTTATTTTTAGGCCATCTTTTGTGTTTTTATGTTATCCTAGTGACCATATACAAGAAACTGAAAGTGTTAATTATAACTTGTTAACTTACTGAAAAGTGCTGCAGTAACTCATCTTTCTCCTCTTCCACGAATCCCCAAATGGTTAGTGATTTGGGACGGTGATCTACTACCATATGATTCCCCATCCCTCTGCCTCTGCCTCCACGTCCACGCCCTCGTCCTCTGCTTTGACCAGACATCGCTTTTCCACGACCAGCAGGCAGGATACCTAAGCGGGCAGCCTGCAGACAAAAGAATATGTTTCACCTTTCATGGACTTTGTTCTGTACAGTACATACACTAAAATTAATATCACAGTTAAGAAAACAGTGAACCTTATAAACTCACCTCCACCTGTAACTGTGTCAACTTTTTCTTTAATTCAGTTGTATCCTCCCCTGAAGACAGCCTTTTATGAAAGTCCAGTTCTGCATCCAGAAGTTCTTTTTGTGCCTTTGAAAGGGTGAGATGGTGAAACAGAAGAAAACATTTGTATTTGTTCTAGTTCTCTTTGTATACAAACCAGTGTTAATATGTTTCTTGTTGGCTTAGAGCTCTTTTTGGAATTGAAATAGGGAACCATTCAGTGTTAAATATTATAAAACAGGTTATAAAGAGGGAAAAGTAGCAAAACAGATTTATAGTGTTGGTACTAAATGGGAAAACTGAACCAAACTGCATTTGACTACTGGACAAACTGGAGACTCATCAGAAACCTGAAGATTCTGTTTTTTAATATTCAAACACTTCAGCAAAAAGATGCTAAGTAGGGAAAAGAAGAAACAATTTTAAAAATATTTCAAATTCATTGGCCAGTATCTTGTTCAATATCTATGCATGTGTAGAGCTCTAAGTGTGGAAGCCACAGCAACAGTCTGATCAAGTGCCGGTCATGAACAACCAGACGCTGGATCAGCACTTTGATGAAATTCCACAGCTGGAATGCCTTGTGTATAATACCAAATAAGATACTGATCACTCCTCCCCAAAAATTGAAACTCAGTAAATCTCAAGTTTTAGAAGTGCTTATAAAAGTTTATATATATGTGTGTGTATATGTGTATATATATATATATGTGTGTGTGTGTATATATAAATAACAGATTCAGAATGAGTACGTTTATACCAGCTAGCCAATACACTGATCTCAACAATGAACACAACACCCTTAATGCAGCAGATACATGGAATACAACACAATAACATAATAGTTACACCACTATGGTTCTAGTGACTAAGGCACAAGCATTCTTCTGATGAATGAAGTTATTAGTAGCTAATCTATTCACTGCAATCCTAAAGACTGTTTCTTTTCTTTTGATTACTACTGCTCCACATTTATATCTTCTTAATGTATTTATTTGATTTATATGGCACCCAATTACTGCACACACTACTATGAGCAGTTTACAAGTTAAAACTTGCAAATTTTGAAGACAACAATCTGGCAATTAAAAAAGAAAAGAGAAAACCCCAAAACAAAAATAAAAGATTAATAGCATCCGGCAGTCTCATTTGTTAAAGACAGTATTAAATAGTCCTGTTTTTAACAGATTCCTGAGGGAAGGAACCTGACATATCTCCACTAGTAACCTGTTCCAAAGAATAGGGTTTACTTATTTGAAAATATGAAAATAAATCTAATTTTTAGTCTCTAGAGCTGAAATAGGGTTTTGAGTGGTAACTAGAGCGAAAGATTTCATGACATGCTAAAAGTGGCACAAACTCCTTTATCTTCTTTGCCTCAACAATGGGCTGGCATCTTGAATTTGAGACAACAGTCAGAGGATGCCTTGTATTCTGAATGTATGTCTTTGCCATACACAGGCAACAACTCAAAAAAGACATATCAATCCTCAAACCATATTTCTTTCAGAACCAAAAGAAAGGAACATCATTTCAGCGAATTATGTACTTCAGATAAAGTGAGACAGCTTGTCATGACAAGACATGAGCTGTATCAGACCAAAGGCCTACCCAGTACAGAATACAATGGCCAAGCAGATGGCACCAAGAGGCCCACAATGAGAACATGAGTGCAACAGCACGCTTTCAGATAAACTCAGGGAAGCTTTGAAACAAAAAATGCATGAAGAAGAATATGATAAATGCTTAACATAAAGATTCTGATCCATGGCTCTGATCATGTACTGAAACTGGATTCTATTGGCAGCAAACTGATACCAGATTTTAATATGAAAACACAAGATCACAAACATCAAGACTACTCACCTCTGTTTTGGATTTCAGCTTTGATGTCGCAGTAGCAGCAGATGAAGTTTTCAACTCATCCTTCAACTGTGAAATTTTAACTGTTAGCTCCTTCAGTGTCTTCATGATCTCTGCTCTTTCTTCTGGTTTCATACCTTTACTTTTTTCCAATTTTGATATTAACATCTGTGAAAACCAAAATAAGAGAGCAGATTGAAAATCCTAAAAACATTCACTAACTTCCTTGTCTACTGAAATAAGCACACATGGACGTGTTAATATTTAAATAAAAAGAATAACCAACCTTTTGACATTCTATTTGTTTCTCTAGCATTTCCTGCTTTTTCTTCCTCATGTCTTGCTGCAGCTTCATTGCCTCCTGGTTAAAAAAAATTGCTTTGAGTGTGCTAGATGGCAAAATCTAATTACTATGGCTTGGAAAAGACAATTAAATCATCATCTTAGGTGTTGATACAAACAGTGTAATTTGAATCACAAACTCACCCAATGTTTTACTGGACACCACAGTTATGTTCCATGATACCCCCACAATTTATGACCTTGCTTGTACTCATGCTTCTTGGAAATTTAAGCCTCATCATGTTTTCTGGGCCATGTGAAAGAAATACCAACTAACTAACTAACTAAACAAACCAGTCACTCAGTCTTTGGTCACATTCCATAACCAGCTCGAAGTCAACTACTGCAGCAAGCTCAGCACGCCCAGCTGTTCTTGCTTCTCCCCTAGCAAGCATATTGCAGATCATGTGCTCATCTTTTGGGATCCCCTAGCACTGAGTAATTCTACAAGGGGAAAGTTTCTGTTGGAATTTGTGTGTTGTCTATCTGTACTCAAACTTCCATTATAAAAAGGCAGGAAGCTTAGTTCTAAGAAAACCACCAACACCCCCAGTACCTTCCATTTTATGAACATGTAATATTGTGCTTCTGTATCCCTTAGTATTCACAACACATTCACACCCGTTGAAAAAAACAGCCCTGACAATTGTTTTGTGTTTGCGTGAGAAGTGGTTAACTGATGAAAAAAGGAGTCAGCTTCTGAGATTTTCCCTTCTTTGGTGTCACTACGTGAATGCTAGTGAGCACAAGGGATAACCTGTAGACCACCATGACTGCTTCCATTGGTGTTGTCAACATTCAGGCTGTCCTTTGCTTTTTAAAGCCTGACATACTTTTTTCTGCTGACAACGCAGGCAAAATGTTATGCAGCAACACTGGGCCACTTCCTGGCATTTTGAATCATGGATACAGAAGCACAAAATCCCACATTCAAAAACTGGAAGGTGGTTTTTTTTGGAAGAAAAAATATTTTTTTGAATATTCCATTTTAGAGTTCAAAAGAAAATTACTATAATATGCAAAAAATTACCTGTTTCTTTTTAAAAACTTCTTGGACATCATGAGATTTATTTCCTACAACAGGTTTTATGGATGTTTTCAAACTGGAGGAACTGTAAACCATCTTTGTATGGCCAGCTGAAGCAGGAAACATCTGAAAACAAGAGGTATCATTTGTAAAAATTGTCAGGTGGCTCTCTCCAAGCAACCTACTTTGATACAAAACTTTTAAAGATGAAGTAAAACTGTATTTCCTTGATTTGTTCAAATACTAGAGATATTAAGGCATTAAGAGTAAAGATCTAGAAGTAACTAGATATTTGGAAACTGAAAAGAAAAAAACCCCTCAACATACAGTGTATCACAGAAGTGAATACACCCCCTCACATTTCATAAATATTTTAGTACATCTTTTCATGTGACAACACTGAAGAAATGTAAAGCAGTGATCATAAAACTTATATAACTAAATGTGCTGTCTCCTCAAAATAACACAACACAGAGCCATTAATGTCTAAACCACTGACAACAAAAGTGAGGACTTCTCATTTTGTCATGTCTACCAAAACCCCACCCACACAGACTGGTACCTACACAAAAACTCCAACCATTACCCATAACAAAAAAGAGGCATAATCAAAACACTGGCAGACCGTGCGAATCGGAACTGTGAAGCTCAATTTCTCAGCACCAAACTCAACCATCTGAATTGGGTCCTGCAGGCTAATCCAAGAGCCATCAAACTGAGAAAACAATACTGAACTGAAGAAGAAAAACAGCCACCCACAAATAAAGTATTTCTGCCATACATCAAAGGGGTCACAGACCACATGGGGAAACTTTTGAAAAAATACAACCTACAAACAGTATTCAGGCCCACCACAAAAATACAACAAATGTTATAGTGAGCAAAGGACAAAAGGGACCCCCTCACCACTGCAGGAGTATACTGGATACCTTGCAGTAATGGCCAGGGATATATAGGGACCACAAAATGCAGCATCTGCACCAGAATCAAAGAAAATGAAAGACACTGCAGAGTAAAACAATCAGAAAAATCGGTAGGAGCTGAACATGCACTGAAACAAACTGGATATGAAATCCTATTTCAAAAAACAGAAGTACTGGACAACACCAGCAATCATTATGTTAGACTACACAGAGAAGCCATTGAAATCCACAAACATCAGCACAGTTTCAACAGAAGAGATGAAAGTCTAAGAAAGCCTGGCTCCCAGCACTGAAAAATACAGCCTGCAAAAAGGTCAACAAACTCTACCTGGCCACAAGGACCAGTGATCACTGCACACAAAAGACCAGCTATCAACACTCATCAATCACAGTGACAGATCATCTCCCCCCTTATCACAACAATACACCCATAACAAAAAATACCTTGATCACCATAATCACCCAATCTCCTGAAAAGGACAAAAAACTGATCCCATAGCTACAAATATTTAACTATCCCACACACTACACCAGAACACAGACAGAGTTCTAACTCCTGTCCTCTGAAGATGCCGGTCACAGAGACTGGCTAAACATTAGGAAGAAAAACCCCCAGAACATGGCCAAACAGCCTGAAAAACCTACAACAACCAAATTTTAAAACTGTTTGGTCTGCAGCATGTCTGGTCTGCATTTTGAGTTCCACTGGAGGCAGTAATCCATTCAGTTCCCATTACTATTTGTCTTCACTGAAAAGTATTATGTACTGGTCCACAATATCAATACCAATGCTTGTGATTCTTAGTGTGTGCAAAAATGTGTATACCAATGTGGATATAAAGTTTCCATCCTAAGCCAGAAATAAAAACAGGTAGAAACCTGAACTTTGGCATTACAAATCAGAAGATGCAACACCCAGACATGGAATGGGTCCAAACAGAACTACTCTTTTCAATATTGAGTTTTCATAGAGGGTAACATGCATCATTTGATTCACATGCTCACACACCTGAGCATCCTCTGCACTTGACTGGTTAAGTACCAGATGTTGAGAGTCTGACTGACTTCCACCAGTTGCTCCAAGCCGATGTTTAACTGGAATCTTGTTAAGGACGTAGGCACCTGATGTCATTGGCTTAGTCACCTACACAAATGTGTATTACACAGAAAAATTTGAGTATGCATTTAAACACTCTCTTCTCTCTCTCTCTCTCTCTCTCTCTTTGTAATATTGACATCTCACAGGCACAACGTATTTTTTTTCCTAAAAAAGTTTAGGAAAAAGAAAAGCATTCAGGTTGGGTGTACCTTTGGCATAGTGTTATGCATGGTTGCTGCTGGAGCCTGAGCCAGCACCTGTTGCTGCAAATGAAGCTGTTGATGAACTGTTGGAGGTGGCTGGTGCTGGTGCTGGTGCTGAGAGGGTTGCAATGGGGGCTGCTCACTGTTTTCCCGGTGCCACAATACTCGTATAAACCGATTGTTCAACACAGCCTCGGTGCTGGAAATGGCTTTTCTGGCTTCATCATTGGTTAAGTACTGAATCAGAGCAGCTTCAGGATCATTCTTGAAGGCAACCTAAAGAATATGCATTGAAATATGTAAGTCAACATTATCCAATAATAATCTTAGTAAAATAAAACATATAAGACATAATACAGCATTTAACCTTTTTATCCTAATCAAAAGGGGTCCAAACTGAAACTTACAGAAAAACGGATGCTAATTACATATAGTATCTAGCATTCCTACATTTCCCAATAGATAATAAAAGCACTAGAAGCTTAAGAACTAGCAACTGCCTCAATAAAACACTACATTGACCTCTGATACCAGTGAGCTAACTCTATGCTGTTACCGAAGTACTAGTAAATCATTCCATGTGGTATTTTGATACAGTGTCAGAATGGTTTTTCCAAAAATATCCTAAAGTAGGGTAAGTGAACTGTGCTCCTCTGAATGTTACTGAATTCCTAGAAGACCAAGCTAGCATAGAGAGGGACATCATCAGTTGGTTGTCTGCATGAATGCTGGACTGAATTGTTACAACAGAAAATAAGGCACTGTATGGCAAATATATACTATATCTTAGTTCTCTTATTATTGCTCTTATTATTGGAGAAATGAAAGGGATCTTTGAGGAAATGCAGTTCAGGACCTGTAATGCAGGAGGCAACCACATCCCTACCAAAGTGTTATCCAGCTGCAAATGAAATGCCTTCCTAAGAGAGCACTACTCCTGAAACATATACAGTCGTGCCCCGCTTTACGATTACCCTGTTTAATGACAAATCCGCTTGACGGTGAGGGTTTTGCGATCGCAAAACGATGGTTTGAATGGGGTTTTTCCACTCTGCGATGATAGGTTCCCTGCTTCGGGAACAGATTTTCAATTTATGACGATCAAAAACAGCTGATCGCCGGGTTTCAAAATGGCCACCGGATGAAGAAAATGGCCCCCTGCTGTGCTTAGGGACGGATTCCTTGCTACACAGGCACCGAAAATGGCCGCCCCTATGGAGGATCTTCGCTGGACAGTGCGTTTTCAGCCCATTGGAACAAACTGAAAGGGTTTCAATGCATTTCAATGGGCTTTTTTATTTCGCTCTACAGCGATTTCGCTGGAATGAATTAACGTCATAAAGTGAGGCACCACTGTACTGCTGAACAGCTTAAACTGTCACAAAGTATCTTTTAACGTTCAGCCAAAATATGATTCCTTTCAATTTTCATGCATGGGTGCGAGTCTTGATCTCAGTTATACTGTAATATAACTTAACAAAAGGTGATGTTATTGGATTTACCTGAATATTGACAATTGTTCCAAATTTGCTGAAATGTTCATTAAGTTGAGTAATATTATTCAGTTCTGGTGGTATTTTACGAACTTCCAATTTGGTGTTTGTATACTGGTTCTTCTTCAGAAATCCTGGCTTATTCTGGTTGTTATTTGCTTGTCTGAATATGGGGTGGGGGAGAGAAAACAGGCTTATGTTTATATTTTCAAGAGATGAAATTCAAAGGAAAAAGCATGAGGGTTTTTTCATTCCATAGTACCCTAACAACTGCTTTGCTGGATCAAATCAAAGCTGGATTACAAGGCAGCGAAAAGGGTAGGGTGAACCCAAGGTGAAGGACCTCTTATATGCCAAAACATACCAGGATGGGCCAGCACATGTCAGCTGGGTGGAAGGAGCAGTATTTTGCTCTTTATCTCCCAGTTTCTTGTGCCACTGTTTTCTCCTTCCCCAAGTTCATTGTCATTGATTGTAATGAGAACTAAATCCATATCAACTATGCCTAAGATGTAACCTCATCATACGATTTGGGTATATGCCAAGAAAATGAATTCACACGTTCTCTTGATTCTTCCCCTTGATATGTTCCCCTTTCAGATAGTGACACTGGACCTCCAATGCCAGAGAGGCAAGGACTGCAAAGGTCTCCAGTATGGCTGGGAGGGGGCTACAAAAGGCTAGGTCTTCCTACTCAAGATACTTCCATATGCAAGCAAAAAAATATACCAACCTCCCCACCACTCCTTCTTTACCCACAACATTGCCACAGTTTAGCTCAAGTTCTAAGTTTGCTTGTTTTCCTCTCCTGTGCTTTCCAACTAGTCATGCAAATCACTCAGGAAGTAAGCACAAAGCAAATCAGATCATTTGGAGCTTTGTGGGCAGAGTTCTATGCTTCTTTTGCAGTGAATAGGATGCTAGTCCTTGGCATTAAAATCCAAGTTTACTAGGTGGGTCTGGGGCAAGGCACTCTCATCTACACATCTTACTACACTGTGGCAAACCTAAGTCTTTATGTCTTCAAGCAAGCTCCTCCACATCTGAAGAAGAAACATGTTTTAGTCACTAAGAAAGAAACATGTTTAAGTCCCAGAGAGTCAACTGGTGGGGTGGGAATTGTACACAAACCTATCTCAGTGTGCAAGGATGGGAGAGGGATGTTAAAGGGATGGAGTAAGGGGGAGCTTCAGACTAATACCCTGTTTCCCCCGAAAATAAGACCTAACATGAAAATAAGCCCTATGATTTTTCAGGATGCTTGTAATATAAGCCCTACTCCAAAAATAAGCCCCAGTTAAGGGAAACCCTGTCCTCCACCATTGTGCAACAACCAGAAGAAGATGACATGACTGTATTTGAATAAATGTAGACTGTTGTACATGAAAAAAAATAAAACATTCCTTGAAAATAAGCCCTAATGTGTTTTTGGAGCAAAAATTAATATAAGACCCTGTCTTATTTTTGGGGAAACACAGTAGGAGGCATTAAGCCCCTTTTCCAATGACTCCAATACAACTAATTGCTTTCTTGCTGTTAACAGCACAAGGATCAGTGGAATCAGGGAGAGGTCACACCATCCTCCGCTCTCAGCTGCTTCCTTAATAATAAGTCAAATGGAAACAGCAATCTGCCCCCTTGCTTGCCAACAATGACTAATGAATCTAGGTGGTGGAGAAAAGTGGTAGACTATACAGAGTGTTAGCAAGGGTTATGAATACAGCAATACATCTTGAGCTTTGTGTAAAGAGTGAAAATTTAACCTCAGCTATTTGGCCAACATCATGACATGAGCCAAAGTGCTTGTCCTGCTGCTGGACAGTGATAAGATACAAAAACCCTAAAGAGTTGGTTCACATCCCTTCCCCAGATACTCCTGCATGTTACTTAGGAAGAATTATTCACTATTTCTTACAAGAGCTGACCTCAGTTTGCCAAGTCACCAGCAGGATATAAAAGTTCTTACTTTCCAATCCAAGGTTTCTTTGGAGTTGGCCCTTCTATGGTATTTGAAACTCGCTTCCTGTTTTCTGGCTCAAGTACCACTCTGGAGACACTAGTGTTGTTATTTGTAATGCCAACTGGAGGCTCAGTCTGGATGATAATATTTGCAGCTGAAAAGAAAAAAAAGAATTCCATGTGTGCAACAACTTGGAAAGTTACTGTATTTACAAATGATAATATGCGAAATGCTTAAGAACTCAAGAATTTAAAGCAATACCTATTCATTTCATAGAGTACCTTCCCTAAGCAATTGGAAAAAAAAATAGCTGAAGTGGTTGGTTGGACACAAGCTCAATATTTACAATAGGATTGTAACAGAAAATACAAGAATAAAAAAGATAAATTGGTTAGCCCTAGACTAGAGGATCTCCCACCAAGCAGTTATTTCAGTACTACTGCTTGTGAAAATTGTGCTGAATCCATACACAGGAACCTTACTAAAGTACCCCACTAGTTATATGAGCATTCTCCAGGAAATACTTCCCAACACTGGATGTCCATCTCGACTCCTTAACATCATCAGGTCCTTTCATGAGGAAATGAAGGGCACTGTAGTTTTTGATGGCTCAACAGCAGATCCCTTTGACATCCCAAGTGGAGTGAAACTGGGATGTGTTCTCGCGCCGACCCTGTTTGGGATCTTTTTTGCTGTCATGCTGAGGCACGCTTTTGGAACTGCAACAGAAGGTGTCTATTTCCGGACTAGATCAGATGGAAAGCTCTTTAATCTCTCTAGATTGAGAGTAAAGGCCAAAGTCCAACTGAAATGCATGCGGGACTTCTTCTTCTCCGATGATGTAGCTGTTGTTGCCCACTCTGCTGAAGACCTCCAACAACTCATGAATCGTTTTAGCAAGGCCTGCCAAGACTTTGGACTAACAATCAGCCTGAAGAAAATACAAGTCATGGGCCAGGGCGTGGACTCACCTCTACTACCATCTCCACACAAGAATTGGAGGTTGTTCATAACTTTGTGTACCTTGGCTCAACGATCTCTGACACTCTCTCCCTAGATGTCCAGCTGGATAAACACATTGGCAAAGCAGCTACCATGTTCTCTAGACTCATAAAGAGAGTATGGCTTAATAAGAAGCTTACGGCATATACCAAGATCCTGGTCTATACAGCCTGTGTCCTGAGCATACTCTCGTACTGCAGTGAGTCCTGGACCCTTTCTGCATGGCAGGAGAGGAAGGTGAACACGTTGTCTCCAACGCATTTTTGGTATCAGCTGGCAGGACAAAGTTCCAAACAGAGTAGTCCTACAACAAGCTGGAATTTTTAGCATGTATACATTACTGAAACAGCGACGTCTACATTGGCTTGGGCATGTCGTGAGAATGCTGATGGTCGGATTCCAAAAAATCTCCTGTATGGAGAATCAGTGGAGGAAATTGCCCCAGAGGGAGACCACAGCTGCGATATAAGGATATCTGCAAATGGGATCTGAAGGACTTAGGAATGGACCTCAACAGATAGGAAATCTTGGCATCTGAGTGTTCAACCTGGAAGCAAGCAGTGCATCATGGCCTCTCTCAATTTGAAGAGACACTTGTTCAGCAGGCCGAGGCAAAGAGGCAGTCCCGAAACCAGCAAAATCAGGGAGCTGGACAGGGGACAGATTGAATTTGTCTTCAGTGTGGAAGGGTTGGTCACTAATTGGCCTCCTCAGCCACCCTAGACGCTATTCCAAGTCCTCCATACAGAGCACGTTACCATAGTCTCTTGAGACTGAAGGATGCCTAATCTAAATTCTCTGGGATCACCAGTCATGTCCCCATGCCTAACAGAGGAGCTTAAAGTTGGGGCAGGTAATTTGACAGAACCACCAATATATACAATAAAATCATTTGAACGACTAGAAAAACTTGTCTTTCTATCCACAGTTTCAGTACCAGCATCCCAATCAACCACCTGATTTGACAATTAAAGTTGGTGCAATTCAAGAATTATGCATTCATCTGACTGCATCTTAACACAAGCCATGTAAGGTTCTTACTAATTAAGAGCACTGGTGGACAGGTAGATATTCTAAACTTTTTAAACGCATTCTGTTATAATGTCTTCTGAATAAACAGGAGGAAGACTATTTTTATAGTTCTTTCTCTGTGGTCAGTGAGAACTGGAAAATTGCCTTCCTCCTTTCTCTTCTAGCCTCTGTTGGATCTTGGTTCCTTTTGTTTGTAGAAAATCAAGTCTGGGCCCAATTCACCTGTTCTGGAGTCTGAAAAAGTGATTCTCCTTTTTCAAACACTTTAAAGATCAGAGGAAAAGCAAGTATTCAATGTAGAAAATCAAGTGACTAAACACAGCATCTTCATTAGTGTTACCTCTTGTAGTGTCCTGCAAAACAAATATTGAAATGTGCTCAGTCTGGACTCGGGACACATGATCTCACCTCTTGGATTTGTATCCATCTCACCAGACGTTAGGCCAATAAGATTTGGACGCTGCATTGGTATCCTTGAAAAAAACTGCCGATACTGTGATCTACCAGTACTGGTGATACTAGGGGCTTCTGGATTATAACCATCCGGTTCATATGTATCTATTATAAGAGAGACACAGAATGGATTCATGGTTAGTTTAAAAAAACCAGTGAGTTAACAAAACACTACTTAGTTAACAAACCCTATGTGTATGTTTCAACTAAAATTTATTTACTATATTCTACCTTTCAATCACAAACTGTACTCAAAGTGGCTAGTAGCACTAAAATATAAAATTGCATTGAGAATGGAAGTCAGTTTGTAACAAAGAGCAGCCATCAGTTAAAACATACTTCAGAGAACGCAATGGAAATGGAAAGCATAGCAAGATATGGTTAAGTTATAATACATGTTTGTTGTGGGTTTTTCGGGCTTCTTGGCCGTGTTCTGAAAGTGGTTCTTCCTGGACACAGCCAAGAAGCCCGAAAAACCCACAACAACCATTAGATCCCGGCTGTGAAAGCCTTCGCGAATACATATAATACATGTTATTCCAAAACAATTTCAAGTTCTGTTACAAAAAAATCTGCACCATGGCTGAAATCCTGTTGCTTAGTGTTGTAAGTAGCACTAGAGTCGGTCCACTGAAACAGTGGAGTATTGTGGTAAACTCTGTAAGTGCTATTGATTCAAATAGGCCTATTGTGGTTGTGACTTACTATGCAACTAGTCAGACTAGAATAGGCCCATTTAAATAAATGGAAGTTACAGAAGAGGGTCACCAAACAAATGCCCACAGATTTAGGCCCTACTCTAGTGCGGCTTACTGCACAAAGCAACAGGATTTCAGTCAATATATGATGCATGGATCATGCCAAGTTGAGCTCCAGATAAGCCAGCACTAGATGAAGTCTTATTCATTCATTCACACTCCATCTTTCTCCTTAAAAAGGACCAATGGTGGTTTTACATAATTAAAAGACAGCATTTAAAGCTAACAGTGAATATACAGTACAATACTAAAAAAGATCAAACAAATACTATACCAAAAAACAGTACACAAAAGCAACACCAAAACACATTCAATGCAGCAAGGTACAAAAATCCCTTTTGAAACCCCATTCAGGCACCCAGTCACTCAGGGAAAGGTTACCTGAAGAGAAAGGTCTTTGCTCATTTGCAGAAAAACAGAAAAGATGGGGTGAGCTTGGCTGCCTATGGGAGGAAGTTCCAAAGTCTGGGAACAGCAACAGAAAAGGCTCTTGCCTATGTCCCCATCAAACACACCTGTGAAGGTGGTGGGATGAGAGAAAGGCCTCTCCTGATAATCTTAACATCCCAGGAGGCTCATAAAGGGAGACATGGTCTTTGAGATAGCTTGGGCACAAGCTGTTTTGGGCTTTATAGGTTAGAACCAGCACTTTGAATTGTGTCCAGAAATTGATCAGCAGCCAGTAGAGCTGTTGTAACAGAGGGGTTATGTGTTCCCTGTAAACAACCTCAGTAAACAATCTGGCTGATTGGACCCACTAACGTTTTACTGGCACTTTCCAGAGGTGGCTCCACCATAATTCAGCCTGGATGTAACAAAGGCATGTGTCACTGGGGCCAAAGCAGACCTCGCTAGGAAGGGGTGCAGCTGGCACCTACTTTTAATTGTATAAATGCACTCCTAGCCACTGCTGAGATGTAAGCATTGAGACTCAGATACAAATCTAGGAGTATCTCCAAGCCAACAAAATGATTAACAAAAAAGTGAGAGCAAGAAGGGTTGAAAAGAAAGTTGTAAAATGGAAAACAAAAGATTTATGAAGACACTGAAATCTCATTAAGCTACATGGTATACTTTCAACAGTGTAAATTCTTTCCTGTCCTGAATCCCAAGTCATAAACCTGATAAGAGTAGAGGTGTGTCAGTTTTGAAACAAAATGAGATACAGTAGAATATAACGTTATTTTTTTTACAAAAATTTACAAAAAATTTACAAAAATCCAAATTATTGCAGATTAAGTACTTCATCTAAGCCTAGGCAATTTAGATAACCATTTTCTTAGATATTTCTGTTTCCAAGGAGTAAGCATTCAAGATCCAACAATGACTATCATAGATTTTTCTTAAGATCAGAAAGGTGGAGTACATATCATTCACTGCCTAAAATCCAGTTGTAACAGGCATTTCGTGAAATTATGATTTAATTTAAAACTCTTCAGCCCTCCCCTCCTCACGTCCCAAGGCTTCCTAAAGGATCCCTTTTGACCAGCAAAAATTTTAGGAGCCTCAGAACAGGGATGGGGGCTTTAATATGGGAAAATTACCATCAGCAGTCCCACTGTCAGATTGGGACTATCAGCAGAGTTTTTCCAATATTAAAGTCAAAAGGCTTTAGGTTTTCCAATATTAAGGTTTTCCAATATTAAGGCCAAAAGGCTTCCCCAGGGCAAAAAGGATCCCTAGGCAGCCTCAGAACCTGAAGGGGGGAGGGATTTAGGAAGTATTAAAGATTGATGTTGCCAGGTGATGACATCATCACCATTTATGATTCACATAGTTGTGCTGCAGGATTTCAGCCACAATCTCTTCAAGGATATGACTGATTCAGTTACCGTATTTTTTGCACCATAAGACGCACTTTTTT